TTTTTACACAATATACAAATGTATGATTGTCTCCTAGGAGTAAGTATAATGTTTAACAAAATATAAATTGTGTGCAAGTCACAGTCACAGCTACAAGGTTTCTCCCCAGTGTAAAATCATAATGTTGTTCTAGGTTACTGTACTTGTTTAAAATTCCTTGTTGTAATCTGAAAATTCATGTTTTTACTCCAGTGTAAATTCAACTGTATATTTTAATGTTTTTACTGCAGTGTAAATTCAGCTGCATATTTTAATGTTTTTACTCCAGTGTAAATACAACTGCTCATTTTAATGTTTTTACAGCTCCTGTTTTTGATATCACACCCTACAGATGCTTAGTTAAATTATCATTCTGAAAGAATGTTAACCACTTTATAAAAAAATGTATTGTCTTCTCCCATCTAGTGATGTTTCACTGTCACATGTTACATAAATGTTCTTTTTATCTGCACTGTAGATAACTGTATGAGCTAATTACCAAGAAATTTCTTACCAGAGAGATAAAAAATTATTTCTTCTCAATATGTATTGTCTCATATCATTTCTAAACATGTCTTATAACACAACTTTTTAAAAATAATATCACATTTTTTTCCACGCTTCACAATTAACTTCTGAAAGTTTTTCTGGTGACTATTTATGTCAAATTCTTTCCCATATATTACACCATTGTAAACTCTCTCAACAGTATGCACTTAGGATGAAAATTAGTTCTAGATTTTTTCAATATATATATATATATATACTACAAAAATGTGACATTCCCAAAAATATTTCCTCAGACATATATTCAAGTAATAATTTATTTCAAATTCTATGTCAAGCACACTACAACTCAATATATTATTTTCTATTTTTATTTTATATCTGTTTTTAGCTTACCATGACTTCTAAATTGTTTGTCTAAAAGTGTACATATTTGCAGTTTTTGCTGAATGTGTGCACTTAGGCTTTTTTTTTATGTCACTATTTCTTCCAATATCTATTTCTCATAACCTATATTTTACCTGGACTCTAGATTTGTTTTTGAATGATACTGTCTTTCTTACTTTCAGGGGTTTTCAGTTCTCTCATCAGTGTATATCTTGATATATTTAAGTAACTGTTACAGTCAAAATTCTTTACCACATACTATGCAACTATATGATTTATCCCCAGCATGGACTTACTTGTCAGTTTTTGTTGACTAGCACTTAGAAATTTCTTTACACATGCTATACAACTGTACCATTTCTCATCTGTATGTATTCTTTGATATGCTTTATCCAAAATCCTTGCCACACATAAATGCTTATGGTTGCTTCCCAAAGTGTATCCTTTGAGGTACTTTAAGATAACTATTCCTTACAAATTGTTTGCCACACACATCACAACCATAAGGTTTTTCTCCAGTGTGAATCCTCTGATGAGTTTTAAGATTACCATTACTTCCGAAATCTTTACCACATTTCTCACAGCTGTATAACTTCTCCCCAGTATGTACTGTCTCATGTGCTTTAAGATTACTATTTCTTATAAATTCTTTGCCACACACAACACAACTGTATGGTTTTTCCCCAGTGTGTGTCCTGACATGTTCTTTTAGGTGAAAATTTCTTCCATTTAAGATAACCATTTCTTGCAAATTTTCTACCACACTCTACACAACTGTATTGTTTTTCCACAGTGTGTGTCCTCTGATGTGTTTTAAGATAACTGTTAGTTACAAAGTGTTTGCCACACACTTCACAACTGTATGGTTTTTCCCCTGTGTGTGTGCTATCGTATGTTCTTTTAGGTAATAATTACTTCCAAATTCCTTGCCACACATAACACACCTGTATAATTTATCTCCACTATGGGAAGATTTATGTCTTTTCTGGATATTTGCCTTTGAGGGCATTTTGTCCAACCCATCATCACTGGTTGATTTCAGAGACTTGCAGTTCTGTGTCATTGTAAAGATAGTTTGTTTTGTTAAAATATATATTCAGAAAACTTCTTTCCATGATCATTGTTCAAGTGATCTATAGTCAAAAGATGGATTCAGATAAATATAATAATTAATAAAAATATTATATCATAAGTTAATAATTTCCTAAATAGTTTTTATAATGACCTAATAAAATAGTTGGAAAAATTAAATTAAAAAGTGTACCTATATATATTTGTGGTAACGATTCATATTATTGGGATGGAGGGTTCTTATTTGGAGAAAATAATAATGTATTCAGAAAATTTAATGGTAATGAAAGTGTCTGACATCTTTGTCTGTAGGTTCTACAAACTGAGTACAGATTATCTTAAGTAAAGTTTGTGGATATGCCTACTTTACAGAAATTGATGATTTTCTGTCATAAGTGTGGATAATTTCATATCTATAGTACTTCACTGAAACAAAAATTCAATATTCATAAAACTCACAAGTGGGAACAGCTCAAAAGAAAAATAAAAATGTTAAGAATCCTGTAAGCTGCATATCTCAAAAAAGCTAGGGATATGCGAGTCACTACTTATAAGGTTATAGATCCTCTGAGGTGCATTCTGGGCTGTTTTTTATATATTTTAAATGCCTTTTTAAACATACACAAAGTGAAAGCTATTAGAATAGATATACCACAGTTTATTTATCTGTATGATATTTCAGTACACATAGATTACAATAGATATGTGCAGTTGACCTATGACTATCAATAGTTATCCTGCAGTGGTAGTACAGTTTTCAAATTCAAGACATCAGAGCCACAGTAATAACAATAACAAAATTAATTGTAAGTGCATTAAAAGAATGCCACACTACAAATGCAGTAGTCCATTATGAATAGATCAACCTAAAGACACCTTATACATGAGTGAGGTACAAAGCAAGAATCTTCACAAAGATAAGTAATGAAAACTTACACTGGATTTTTGTACTGATTAAACAATTTTGGTGAAATCATAAAACTAGAGACAGCTTTTCCAGTTAAACTTCAAGCCTCAGCTTTGTCACTTTCTGCCCCTGTGACACTCCATTTACATAGTAGGTAAAAACCGAAACAGAACTTTAAAACATTTAGCGAAACTACTGCTTTTCCACTGCTGCCATGATATTTATAGAAGTTGTTTGAATTTCCCATGTTATTTGTGACACTTCTTTTTCAGCTTTTGATGTCATGAATTAGTAATGCATATTAGAAATATTTTTAAATTTAAAATGTGACACTTTTCATTAAGTTGTCATACTAGAAGAAATGAAGTAAAGAGTTTAAGTAAACAAATTCTTTTGTGAGGTATACTTATTTTCTATTAAAGTGGGTTATCAAGGAAAATGTCAAGGACTACATTGGACTACACTCTCAAAAGTATAGTACAAACTTTTGCCGTGAATAAATTTAATATTTGTCTTGGTTTTTACAGCAATCCAAGAAAACTTAACAGTAACTGAGATTTCAAATTAGGGAAGGTGAGGTAATTTGATATTATATTTAAATAGGTGAGATAATTAGATGATTAAATATTTAACTTATTTATTAGAAGTTTTATTCTGTATACAGTCCTTGAGGTTATTCATGGGAAAAGAAAAGAGATTAATGGAAAAAAATTGTAGTCATTTCTTTGCCGTATTCTACTGATAAATTACTGGACTGCTTTAAGTGATTTGTAAGTTAACATGTATGATAATATGGAAATATATTTCCATATATATGCCTTACTGTATAAATGCTGAAGTAAACATTTCAGAAATGTTTCACCCAATCTACATTTACACTACATGCTTGTTTTGATATTTACTTTGAATTTAAATGGGTAGCAATAATGTTTTCTTACATTTCTGGCAGCATCAACTTGTTAGAAGTGCTTGCCAAGTATGCAAACAACCTTCTCCTTCCTCAGTAAACTCATTATTACATTGACATTCCTCTATAACCATTTATTTGTTCTTTAATCTTTCATCTCTCTCTCTCTTTCATAACATTTTCCTTGTGTTGTTGTGGTCAGGAATTATTGGGTTGATTAACCACTCAACTAAATCATTAAATCTAACTAGACTCACATACATGTTTTTACAACTGTATTTAATTCATATTATGAATCAATGAAACTAAACTTTCTAACAAACATTAGTGTAAGTGAAAAGGGACTCAGGAACTGGGGCATAATCCCAGGTCTGATTTTTTTTGCCAATTTCTATCTACCTTGATTTAGTAAAATTTTCTTTAAAACATAATTATAATAGCTTATTAATATTTTCTTTATGATTTCCAAGTTTTGGTTTTGTCTATTTAACTTATATATCAAATATAAAATTCAGTGATGTACATCCTCAATTTATAGACCATATATTTTAAATGTACTTTTTCTATTGTAGACCATATAATTTAAATGTACTTTTTCTCTTATAGACCATATATTTAAATGTACTTTTCTCTTATAGACCAAATATTGTAAATGTATTTTTTCTCTTATAGACCATATATTTTAAATGTATTTTTTCTCTTATAGACCATATATTTTAAATGTATTTTTTCTCTTATAGACCATATATTTTAAATGTATTTTTCCTCTTATAGACCATATATTTTAAATGTATTTTTTCTCTTATAGACCATATATTTTAAATGTATTTTTTCTCTTTTTCCTTTTCATCTATTTACAACAAAGTTCAACCTTGATGTTACATGAACTAATGAAGTTGAAACATTATAAAAATTGAGATCAGTGTGTGATATATGATGTTATTTATGTCATTTTAGAATACATCACACAAACATCTTTTCCTAGTGTAACACTTAGTATAAAAGCCTAGTTACACATCAGAACCCAAAGTGTCAAAAGGTTAAAGTATATTGTACTTTATAACATCACAGCAGGAAGGTGTATTTCTAGATACACTTTAAAACCAAAACTTTTGTATTTAGATTGTTCTACAAAACATTTGTATGGTTATCAAAATCTAACTCATTGCAGAAATACCACTTTTATACTAGTGTCTTTACCACATGGTTAATGAATATACTTAGTAACATGTTTACACTCACTTGATAAACCTTCTAATTCAGAGTTAATTTGTTGAAACTCCTCTTCTGGTTCATTCTTCAAACTCACAACATCATGTTTTGTACAATCAAAAACTTCATCATCACTCTCACTGAACTTGGAAATAATGTCATCTTGTGGTGAATTACCACTTTGTTCAGTTTTTTTTCTAATAAGTGTCTTCTAAAATATAAAGAACAAATTCAAGAAATGAATGACAAACAACAACTAGTACTGTCAATAATAAAGTATCCCCAATTCATTAAAAGTGCTTGATAAAGTGCTCTCTATTGTCAGAATCTCTAGGCCAATCACTAAAGTTGTGTAGTATTATTACAATCATCTGTGTTAGTCTACCTTAGGTGGTCAGATGTTTCCAGTTTCCTTAGTGTGGAGAAACAGGTGAAATTGATACAGAAAAGCTAAGCATCTGTTTGAACAGGCCTGGCATGACCAGGTAGTTAGGGTGCTCAACTAGCAATCTGTGGATTCAAATCCCTCTCCCACCAAACATGCTCGCTCTTTCAACCGTGGGGGCATTATATGTGACGGTCAATCCCACTGTACATTGGTAAAAGGGTAGCCCAAGAGTGGGCAGTGGGTGGTGATGACTAGCTGCCTTCCCTCTAGTCTTTCACTGCTAAACTAGGAACAGCTAGTGCAGATAGTCCTTATGTAGCTTTGCGTGAAATTCATAACAAACAAACAAACTGTTTAAACATTCTGTATCTAAAATATTAATCTTGCATTAAACTGTAAAGTGTCTTTTGGTTCAACAAAATATAAGAATGACGTAAAGTTACAAGAAGGATGGAGTTGAAACAGAGTACAATTATAGGAACTTATCCTACATATAGAAAAAAAAGTATATGAATTTTTTAGAACAAAGAATTTACAATAAACAATTTTATTTCATATGAAAAATAAGGGATTACCAAATCATAATTTTTGCAATATATATTCTTAAATAAAATAATTTTTTTTTTTGTCTAGTACTCATATTAACCTTAAAATGTTGCTGTTTATTATTGTTGCGTGTCTGGTTGTTTGTTAATTTCTGGTATAAATTCTTTCCGAGGAACTTCAGCGATACAAGTCCTTTCTTAAATAAAACTAGTTTATTCTTTCTCAATACAACTTTGCAATACACAAAGTTTAACTTAACTACTTTTATAAAAACACGCTATAATTCACAGGGATTCACACACTTTACTTATGACTTGACTCGATTATCTCCATCTTTAATTTCTCTATCTATGCAATTACTTTATTTACTAGACTTATATACTAAAAAAGAGGGTGCCTGGAACAAACTAGAGTTGCCAGGACAATTCATGATCCTTTGAGAATCTCATGACGTGTTACCAGCGTTACGTGACTTCCGCTGTCGTAACATTATTCTACTTATTTTAATACACAGAAGTAAAAAAAGAAATATTTTAAAGAGACTATTTAAGTTCAGTCATAATATGTTCTTTTGAAATTTTTAGAAACAAAACAATAAAAGACAGAAAATTAACTAAAATATTTATAAACCCAGGAAGCTATAAAAAGATAAGACTTAATTACCTGAAGGTGATTCCTTTCCTTTATTATAACACTTAATTACCTGAAAGTGATTCCTTTCCTTTAGTGCAACACTTAATTACATGAAGGTGATTTCCTTCCTTTATTGTAACACTTGATTACGTGAAAGTGATTCTTTTCCTTATTTTAACAACTAATTACCTGAAAGTGGTTTCTTTCTTTAATTGAAACATTTAATTAAAATCCAGAATAATTTGTGAACTGTACTTCTAAATCTTATTTGAGTGGTTTAGTTTGCACTGAAAATTCACCTAAACCTGAAAAATCTGGGTGAGTGGTGCAGCATTTGTGAAGGTTACTACTTCTCCAGAATTGAACTCATAAGAAGACAGTTTATGGAAAAATTCTTTATAAAAATAACTTTCTAATTCTCTTAGTTGAAAAAGTATGTGGGGTTTTACTCTCCAATTTAAATTTACTGATATAGAAGTGAATTGTATATCCTTAAACCAAATACAACACGTAAAATTTACCTTGAAAAGAAACTAAAACAATTTTTTGAACTATAACTTCTCTGAGTGAGAATAAGATACATCAGATACTTCTGCTAGCAGGAGGAGTGTAAATGTAATTCATGGAATGGGAGATGAAGTGTGTGGTGTTGTTACTATATTCACTCTCAAAAATACACAAAAACCTGTATTGTAAAGAAAACAGCAAGATTCAAATCTGGTAAAATACAATCTGAAAACATCAGCATAGACCTATGTGTTAACTTAAACATACAAACAGAAAAAAGCCAAATAGGTACATGAAGAATGTTGGAAATACCCAAAATGCAGCACTAATAAAGACTGATTGTATAAGCACAAAAATAAACATAAATTGCACATTAAAAAAAAAATCAGGACCTGATGAAACCTTTCATAAAAATAAACAGGATATCATCAGAAGTAGTGAACTAAGAAAAAGTCTCTAAAGTAAATATAAGCTAGAACATATCACCTTTCCACTCAGGAAAATAAATGTTAACTATCAAGTTGCGAAGTGGGTCAATTCAACTTGTCATACCTGTTTTATTATATATATATGTTATATGTAATACATACATATATTTATTCATACCATTCATAGATAATTAATACAGTTACAGACATCAGTAGTTATACAGATAATTAATATGTACACAGGTGGGAAATAATAATATTTATATCTACCCAGTTGTCACCTCTTGATGTCTCCCTGAAGCGGATAGTCTCTTATAGCACTGGCTCTTGGACCAGTCTGGGGCTTTTTACATCAAAGAAATCTCAGTAAAGATTCCCGGTGAAGATTGTATTTACAACAAATTTGACTGATGGAATTCCCAGCAAGAGATCCAATGCCATTTACAGCCATTCCATAGCATAATCTGACTAGCTCATTTTCAGACAAATGGCAGGCGTTCATAAAGTTCACAAAACGCTTGTACATTTGAAATTCTATGGGATGATCAACCACAATTCTAGGTAACAAGTCACAGTGAGTGTCATATGGCACCATGAAAATGCAATGAATGCATTTCTGCCATGCACAATAAAATTTTTTGATTGTCTTATGATCAAAATCCCAAAGATTCAATCCATATGAACACATACAATATGTTTTAAACAGACTGTATTGCACATCATATGAACAATGTGAAAATTTAGACAGTAACGAATTACATCTCTGGTACAATTCATTCACGCTTTTCTGAATGGAATTTACTCTGTAATTAAAGCCGATGTAATGACCAAGGTGTACAGCTGATTCGCTTAATGGAACCATCATGCCACAGAACAATATAAGCTGTTCTACATTATCATTACTAACTGAAGTTGGACACCTGAATTTCAAAAACTGGCATTTCGCTGGATTGAACTTAATGTTAATGGTCCTTGCCTATTTGTTTGGCAATTTCCAACATATTCAATAACCCAGTTCTCAACAGAGCTAGAAAGATAATTTCATCAGCGTAATAGATCGCTCCTAAAAATGTTCTGCCAATGTAGCAACCCTGATCACAGTTACGTAGCTCAGTAAGTAACATATGAGCATAGATAAAAAAAGCACAGGCGATAGAATTCCACCTTGTTTGACACCATTGGACACAGATATCGAACCTAAAAGAATCTCTCCCCAGCGAAGCTGCACTGCCTATCCTGTATGCATAAGTAACAGTACTCTACATGTTAAAGGATATAAATCTTTCTCAAGTAATTGGTTAAACAGTTTAATATACTGGAGACGGTCAAAAGCCTGACTCGCATCCAAAAGCATGCAAAACACGGACGTGTCATTATTTAAGTAATACTGAATTACTTCTTGTACAGCAAAAGTACACTGTGTAGTCAAATATTTCTGTTTAAAACCAAATTGCAGATTGGTTGTAACCAGTGACTCAGCATTCATTTCTAATATTACAAGCTCAAAAAGTTTACTTAACAAGCTGTTTAAGGCAATGGCCCTATAATTACTTGAATCGCTCAGCAATTTTCTCGTACTTTTTGGAATAGGTATGATGGTCAATGTCAACATATCACCAGGGACATAACTATGACGCATCATCACCGTAAACAAAATAATTAGATGTGTGCGTAATACCAGTCCTTCATGTTTGATACGGTCAGCAGAAGATAATCCATCACCGTCTCTCTTACCGGAGTTAAGGCGGGAGACAGCATTATCAATTAGGTCAGTTGTAACGAAGTGGCCATGATAATGCTGGTCACTGCAGCAGTGATGACGAATTTGCTCATCCAGTTCCCGTACCAAGGTGGCCATATCCTCTTCTTCGTATGAGACACAGTTATACAGACACTCATACTTACGAGCAAATACATTGTCGATTTCTCTTTCGCCGGTAGCACCATCAATGGTAGAAGGAGCAGGTTTAGAAGTTTTGTTGCACTTCTTCACCTCCTTCCATAAGTCGCAGTTTTGACAGTTCACGAGTGCATCAGCCATCTTCTGAGACGATAGCTTATCTGCTAGGAATTTGACATGTTTTACCGCACGATGATACTCTGCATGAGTACTTCCCCGTATCTGGGCAATTAACCCAACTCTTGGTCTTCCCATTTCGTTCCAGATGAAATGCCAGAAGAGCGCACTTTTATGCATGGGTTTCACCTCATCGTTCCAGCCAGCCACACAAGGTTTGTTACTGCGAGCACGTGGTATAGATTTCAAACTAGAGTCTATACAGGCTTTAAACAGCTTATCATAGTAGTCTTCTATTGACACGTCATGACGTTCACAGTTAACCTGATTACAATGAATTACCTCACTCAGTATCCAGAAATTATCTAAACGTTTCCTCAGTCTGCTCTGATAGGCTTCAATTGACTCAAGCTTAGCCTCATCCCATTTGAATCTCAGATGCGGTGTAGTGACGTGTGCAGGTACAAATCGTTCTATTGAGGATGAGTCAACCATAGAAAGGGAAATGACACTATGATCTGAAAAATTATCCACGTCATGACATATCACACCTTTATGCTGACAATCCAACATGTTATTAGTGACAAAGAAATGATCAATATTTGACCTATCACCAAACACATTCTCAAATAATAATAATAATAATAATAATACAGAAATATATTCATCCAAGTTACCAGCGGAATTGGTAGGCATATAAACATTCAGTGCGACAAATAACAGCTCACCTGAGGGTAATGACAGTGTTATTCCACAAACACGATTGTTCAACCACTCTATTGGTGTAATGACATGTCGCAGCGAAGATTGCCACAAAATGGCACATCTGCCATGTGGCCTCCCTACAAGCAAACGAGAGTCACTAATGTCTGATATACCATGCGAGGTCATCCCAGTGATGTTTCCATAAATACTGACAGTCGACTAGCTAACTGCCAGTGTTCTTGAATAAAGACGAAGTCGTGGTTACGAGTCAGCTCACGAATATATAGTCAATCTTTCCAGGCCCAAGGCCCTTAAAGTTATATGAGGCAAAAGTGAGAGTCATTATTAACAGTAACACAATCAGATGGGACATGACTAACTACTAGCAGTTACAGAGTCTTTGTCATCCTTTGGTTTGACAGGCGAGTAATTTTGTTTGACGTGTATACGCCCAGGCCAAATTGGTAGATTCAGTGTGTCGAAATCCTTTTTGGAATAAGTGAGAAAAAAGCATGATAATGCCAGTCATCTAGTGAAACTGTCTGTAGATCTATTACGTGGCAATCATTATATTCTACAAAAGCACAGATATCCTCAACTTTCGCTTTGTTAGAAATGTTAGTAAAATATAAATCCGTGTCAGGACCTGGTCCTCCAATAAGAGTACAAAAATCCTCACCCGTACTAATTACGACTTTTCTTTGTCGTTCACGACGATTCTTCCGTCTCTCCTGCTCTTTGGGAAGCAAGTCCCCGTCAGTGTTTTCTGCATGAAGCAATTGAGACTTAATAGTATTCAACAGATTTTCACAAAGTTCAGTCGGAAGTTTAGGAAAAATTGAAAACATCCCGCTACCCGGTTGGTCCTTCTTCTTCTTCCATTTAGAAAATTCGGCAGGCTAGCGCTTAATGTAGTGGTAAGCTCAGGCAAGTCAACTCGTACTTTACAGCCTGGTTTCTCTCCAGTATGTATTTCAGTCACCACGGGTGTGATGTCAGCAGTGGCTGAAGTACTTACGTCATGTGCTGCAGGTTTATACAAACGCTTGTTCAACATGGCCTTAATGGCAACATTTTCTTCAACTGTCTGCTCGACAGCTTTTTTCATACAAGTCACAGTCTCTTCCAACTGACTAACACGTTCGATTGGGGAAACAATGTTGAGTTTCTCAGGGTGAAATTGTGGCACAAGATGCAGGTCTTTAGCCTTAACAGCAATACACGGTAGTTTCTCGGCTCTTTCTAGCTTTAAAATTCCCTCCAAAATATAATGCAAGTGTGCCTCTTTTACAGTACGGGTTTTACCGTCAAGCCATTCAGGTAATTCGCCAAGGGTAGATTGATCACAATGGTCCCAGAGTGTACTTCTGGGCATCCTTCACCTGTGCGTTAGAAAATTTCCTGAGAACAGCTGATTTCAAGTTGACTTCAGTACACCCATTACGTGCAAACAATATGCACGCTAATACAGGGTCTAAAATCACCTCCTCGCCGGCTTCAATAGACGTATTCAATGCAGCAGCACTGTTGGTGTCAGGCATTCTTAATCCACTCAACGTACAAGGTTAAGGGAACTTGCTTTGACACATCTTACCACCACCGAAGTTAGTGTACTTCAAAACTAAACTACTAAATGAAATTATTTGAAACTTGAAATGAACTTTCTAGAGATTATGTAGCCTCTGTTAAGTAAAATATATATTTAGATGTAATACTTGTATAAGTTCATAACTTTTGCAAAACTGAAAATATTTCATTGTGATAAGATTGCTAAGAAACAATTAAAAATGTTTACATTTGTTACAAAGTATTTTTATATTCTTTGCCCATTCAAGCTGCTATTTATAATTATAAGGCCTAATGTAAGTTTAGCTGTGTTAGCAAACAAAGCTTCACAGAGACAAAAGTAAAGAAAATCCCAGACATCACCTCAGCAACACAATACAAAGTAAGAGAAAATCTGATGTTAGGAGATTTCTTGTAAATCACATCTGACATAAAATAAAATTTCCATCCATAACAGCTATGAACCAAAATAACAAAACATTTAAATATCAATGCATGTTTTTGCCCATAGTCCAAACTGGCAAAGCCAGGCCCTGCTTCAAGTAACATGTCAAAAACAACATAAAAAGAGGATGTTGAATTGTCACTGACATGCTAAACATAAAATGGAATATTGTACTTCACCAAAAGACAACAGGAATGATATGACTCTTGAAAACAATGGGTAAACAGATGAGATTCAATTCTCCTATAGTTCAGTTATGGGTATCAAGATAGAACTTGTAATACCTAGTGCTCTAGAAAATCAAACCATCACAGGTTCAGTTTGTAACTCCAGAGTGAACAATATTGTGTGAAAAAAACAGTATCCAGAAGACTTAATACATTCAAATGTCAATTCAGTAATGGTCCACTCTAATCTTTTGTTAAGATCAGAAAAGAAAATCAAATAAGGAAAATGAGTTTTTGTGGTTAATCCTAAAACTACTATGAGATGGTAATGGATGAGACACTACACCACACAAAAACAGAAAATGTGGAGAATAAAATATGAGAAATGTTTTCATTTTACAATAGAATAAAAGCTATTGTCAACACTCAAGTTTCAATAAATACATAACATCTGAAATTCAACAGATCACAAAAATCTGGTTGATATGATTATGAAAATCAAATAGTTCAGAATAAAGAAACTTCCATTTAAGACACAAGAGTAAAGAAAGTATTAGATAAAACTTGTAAAGATTCAAACAGAAAGGATATAAAGTAAGAGGAGAAAAGCTTCTGAACATAAAGATTTCAGATTTTCAAAATAGAATTGGTTTATAGAAAGTGAGCACACAACTGTATTTCTACAATGAAAATCATGTTTACAAAGTGTGTGGGATTTAACATCTACAAATACCAACAATAACCAGAAGATTTCCTTCATTATAAGGTCAATGGACTGGTAAGAATAGGATATTTTGATCTTCTTAATGTAAACACTTTCATTGTTTTTGATCATTCAGGGGTTACCAGACTTAGATAAGACTACCAGGTCTCAGGCAAAGAAAGTCATGAAAATAGAGGAAGAACTGAAACTGTTATATCAACTAAAAGCGTAGTATTCTAGATGTCATAAACATGTTCATAACCATTCTTACAGTACAAACCAAGGTCAAAATAAAATGGGCCTGACTAAAGGGAAGACTTTTTTATATTAACATCTAAACATTTTGGGAGTTTTACTGCATTTTTCAACTCTAAACTTGTAAAAATATTTTATATGAAAGATTAGTCTATCAAACTTTCTCTTGTTCAAAGTTTCCATCAAAAATGAGTTTAATAACTTCATCATGATCAGCTCATGAGTTTAGTATAACAAACGAAGCTGTAAACAAATATCTGTGGACTGCAAACATTCATTTTATACTACTAATAATTATACATAAAACAGTTGTAGTGATTTATTCCTGACTAATGTCGACAACAATTCAGCAAACTTACACTGACCTTCTGGTTGTGACTACAAACACTGTATGTAATCACTAAACACCAGACAAATGTAGTCCAATAAAATAACATTACAACCAAAATACCACCTAAATGATCTTGCAAAAGCATCTAGCTAGTTCACACACACACATTAACATTTTAGATCTAAAAATTACCTGAATTTTCATTGGTACTTCATTAGACCTTTCTTCTTTTGCTGTCATAAAATCAAAACTGTAACGTAACAGCCCTTCTTCAAGAAAAGTAGATTCTCCTGTTCCTAGAAGTATAAATTAAATGGTTTAATAAGTATGAATATGACTTTTATATCACTATTTTGAAATAGGTCCTCATTTTGAAATGACACTTTCAATACACTAACCCAGTCCATCTTTCCTTTAGCCAATTTTGAAAAGATTCTTTCACTTAAAGACACATTTAACACTTGAGCAGTGTTTAAAGGAAGCATCCTTACAAAAGTAACAAACAAAAAATTTGAATTAGGTTTTAGTTTTGATCACACTGTTTCAATTTGCATAAACCTGTAAAGAGCACTCTTCTTCAGCTTTATTAATTCCATTGTGTGAAGTATGGTATCTATTTCAACCTTTTGGTTTAATTCTCTCTCTCCAAAGCAGTTGATTTTTAGCACTCCACCTCCCCTGAGGCTACTTCATACTAATGTGTATGTATCTAACTATTCTGAAGATAATATTCACACCAATATTTGCAGTTAGATTACTGGCAAGATCAATACTGGAATGACGGGTTTGGGTTTTCTACCACAACCACTTCTATTATCAATAATACTACTTTCACCTGGACTCTGGAACATATAAAACAATGCCTCAATATGGTTTACGCAGTAGCAATCACCAGAAAAAAGTTGATTTATATATGCCTGTTATGTGGCACTTATGTCCTGGGAGCCATGAGTACATCACTGCACTTTTGCTGGTAAAAGCACGATTCCAAGTACTTTTAAAGGCATGATGCTGATGTGGCACTGCCTGATTTGTTGGGCAACAACCAGTCATAGTGCAAATTATTAACACGTACCTATACTATAATGCAGTTTATTTTCATACAATAAAGAGTAGAGAGCCAATAATATTTGCATTTTATAGCTATTTTTATTAATAGTTCCATAATTATTTCTAGCACTGTGCCTTCAACCAAATGATTTATGTAAGATTTAATGCCATTTTCTTTCAAATGAAGATTATATTTCTGTATATTAGAAAAGACTTAATAACTTTAATTAAGATGACAGTTATCATGTACAACAGAAGGTTCACTGGTTGTGTGTGTGTGTGTAAATAAATTAGGAAGATGATATATATAACCTAGTACAGAACTCAGAAAAAGGGAATAGAAAATAGAACATTTTTGGGTAAAATAAGTTACTAGTAAAAATTAAATGTTTTATAAATTCATTACCTGAAATTATGTTTGTGTGTGCATTATGACTCAATAGAGTGCATGGGAACTTTATGAATTTAGTGCTTCAACAGGTGCTTTGATAGGAACACCTGCTGTTGCAGCAGATAATAAACTATAAAGTTGTATTGTGTGAATACAAGATGACTTAAAATTATTCATATGTAGTTTGTAGGTTAAAAAAATAAAACAATAACTGTTTCACGTTAGGTAGCAGTGCTCAAGTCTACTGTGAGTACTAACTTGTTCATAACCAATAGCTTTCACATGATTGTACAATGCATAACTGGTACAGGACCTACAGTAATACAGCTATTCTAATATATAATTAACAAGCAGATTCAAAGTAGAAATAAAAACTAACTGTGTGTACTGGACAGTTTACTCTCCTAATAATTAAATAACAAGACTAAATAAAGCCTATTTTTATAGATAGTTGTTTGGAGACGATCACCTGTCAGTGCACAAAAGATTGTGAAACACTATTCTTTAAATGCACAAAATACTGTCTTTGTTGTACTAAGGCATGTAGATGCCAAACATTTTTGGAAGATTTCTTTGTTTACTTTAAAATTCATACATGTTAAAGTGATGTAATGTTACTATTTTCCTGTACTGAAAATACACTTCAGATAGGTACTTACCTCTACTCATATTTTAAATGCAAGAAATACTGTCTTTGTTGTACTGTGGCATGTAGATGCCAAAAATTTTTGGGAAGTTTTCTTTATTTACTTTAAAAATCATACAAATTAAAGTGATGTAATGTTATCATTTTCCTACAATGAAAATACATTTCAGATAGGTACTTACCTTTAATCACAGCTATTCTCGTTCAGTGCTGCCCTCTATATGCAAAATGTTTTTTAACATGCTACAAGCCTTGAGCTCCCTCATACCCCAACGTGGTTTACTGTGTCTTGCATGTAAATCATCATGCAACAACCCTCCACTAATAAGAGTGAGACACAACCTCCCGATGCATGTGAATCCCTCTATATGATTCCACCGAACTATCACTTAGAGAGGTAGGCAGAAAGGAAATACTGGTTTTAAGTGAAGAGGAAGGGTGGGAAATTTGAGAGGTGGTAAGTACCCATCAGAAATATATTTTCAGTATAGGAAAATAATTACTTCCGATATGGTACATTACCTCCACTTACATGTATAGTTAGAATTCCATATTGAATAGGCAGAGGGTTCAGTGTGAAGGATAGAAGGAAGTATCTTCCAAAGCATATGAAGAACACCCACAAAAGGTAATCCCTCTTGGGTGAGAAACACACACATGGGATACTGCACCACTTCTGTACCAGGAACACTCTGCACCCAGTGTGTAAATACATGTAGCATACACAGGCAGAAATCAGGAGTACAACCAATAGGGAGAGAAAAACCAGGTGCATCTAAAACCAAAGTACAATATACCAGAATCTCAATCTGGTGAAGAAAGACTGTAGAAGACCTATCTACAGACAAGAAAGTAAAGAAATCTAAAATGGATGTGCTCCAAGGTTTAGAGTGGCTAGATTGTGACAGACCATAAATGCCCGGTGAACTTCAGTCCAAAACCAACCTGCATCAGGATGACAACTTCCGACCCATAGTAGGAGAAGGGTCTACACCATCTTCACCTCAAGTTTAGTAGAACACAATTATATACAGTTCAAACCAATCTACTAAATGGGGCACATGTGTGTAAATCCACAACTACCATACATCCAGGAACCCAACATCCGAATGACAGCAAGAAGGAATGTGCCAATGTGGCAATTCACATGAAACCAAATCCAATCTGACTTGAACCCCACAGAACAACAGCAGCCTCAGGTTGGGGAAACTCTCTGAGGTGGAGTGCTAGAGGAAGAACCTTCCTTACAAACATCATCAACCTCTGGATAGGACCACACAGAAGTCAGAGCACAAGTGTGTGCAACATCAACCTCCAAAACCTACTGCATGGATGTGGAGAATATGAGACAAAACTATGAAATTGGACTTAGGATGAGTAATCCCAACCAACATGTGTGGATTGCTTCAGTAAAAAATATGCAACCTCACCCTCCAGATAGAACCCACAGAAGCTGGGTGCAGCATCAAACTCTGGGACCCACCACACGAAGGTGGAACTTCTTTTCATGAAATATATACAACCTCATCCAAAGAGGACCACACAGAGGTTGGAGCATAATGCCACCCTCTGGGTCCCACTGTACAGAAGTGGATTGCCTCTAGAAAACATATGCAGCCTCACCCTCCAGATAGAACCTCACAGAAGTTGTGCACAACATCAACCTCTGGGACCCACCACATGGAGGTGGAGTGCATGATTGGAGGATCGAACACCACTGCCCTACTCTCGACTGAATGGAAGTGATCACATTCAGGAGGACTCCTCCATGGTCTACCACAACAGAGACTCGGAACTGGAAAGTGGCTAGAACAAAAGGGGACAAAACGAGGTGGAGAGTCCATATAAATGCCAACAATGAGACAGTGAAACAGGTGATTACAAAAACACTATTTTGAGAAGCAGACCATCCTCAATTTATTCAATCAAAGGGATGGCAGGGATGGGAAACTATCCTCTCCTGCTTTACCCATATATGTCCATGAGTTAGTGCAATCCAGAATGGGCATATTAATGAAGCAAATGTATCAAGAAGAAACCTACTAGCAATCTTGTGTAACACCCCATCTCAACAGTGTGCATTATTGGCCCTGGCTATACATTTTGGCTGTACAATGCAGATTTGAGAAATAGTTAGTATAATTCGACAGGCAACACTTGCCATTGAGCAGGATCCTAAACTAAATGGGACATGCCATTGAAAGGAAAAAGTATATAAAGATAACTTACCCAATCACAGCGTCACCAAAGTTTGAAGAATGGCAACAAGTGGTACCCCAAAGAGGAAGAAACAGTCACCTGATGAAGATAGTGAAAGATTAACATATAAGGTGTAGTCCACATGCCTAATTGAAGAATTATCTTCAATTGGACAACAGAGGTGAGATGCCAGGGAAAAGGTAAGGTGCCTGATCCAATGTGAAGACACCTGGAACAGATTTTGGGAAGAAGGAGACAGGGAGAAATATGTCAATCAAATTAGTTGCCAAACTCGACTTGTAAAGATTGAAGGAGAAAGGTCACATACAAAGTATTGTTGCCAGGGAATGAAAAGGCGGGAATGGGAACCACATAAGGAAGCCGTGAAGACAACGTAACAATGAAGAGCATGAATGGGACATAAAAGTCTATCTTGATCTGAAGAAGAATAAAGGTGGGAAACAGATGGTAGTGAAATTGGCAAGAAGGAAGAACATGCTTCATGATCCACTAAAGTTTTGGGAAGGAAAGATCAATCCAGATAAAGTAAAACATATCTAGAATGGTACAGTGTACATGAAATGTCGATGGCAAAGATATCAGACCAACGACACCCACAAGTTAAAAGGAGTAGGAAATAAGTCTTAAGGGATAGGTGAAATAAGGAACATGAAGACAAAGGTTCAAACAGAGGGAGTGTAAGGGAGTGAAGAACAATACTGACATTCCCATCCAGAAGAACCCCTGACAAGGAGGTCAGCAGATCCAGAAGAAACACAATAAAAGGGAGATGGTAGGAAAGGAAAACACTAAATGGTACTGGGAAAACAAAAGGTGTTGAATAGGTCTGCTTGATAACCAGCTATGGAAGAGACAGAAGCCCCATGATCAAACAGCCAGGTGAGGGGAAAAAAACCCCACTCAAAGACCAATGGCGGAAGATATTCCATTTACATTGATAAACCTCAAGAGAGGAAGGGCAAATGAAACATGCTAAAAGAGGAAACATGCCTAGACAATCCACATCTCTTCACCAGGGACCTGATAAATGTCAGGCATGAAGTCAGAGGACATGAAGGACTGGTAAATGAAATTGATAGAGTAGGGATGGAGTGAGAAAGAGACAATAGAGGGGGTAGCTTGGAGTTGAATGAAATGAGGAAACCGAGGTTGTGCCGACCAGTAAAGAGCAATTAGAAGGACCTGACAAGAAGTGGTATGGATGACCAAAATCACCCTGGGAAGAATTCGGATGGGAAGATAAAAATAAAGGTATTGGTTGGTCCAGTCCTGGCTTAGAGCATCCACAGCCAGGGCCTGAAGATGAGGAACCAGAGACCAAAAAAAAAAGGTAACTTTGTGTTGAGGAAAGTGGCAAATGCATACAGATGTTGAGTACCCCACTAACTGCATAATCAAAGTAAACCAGATTGTTGAGAGACCACTTCGTGGGATAAACCTTGTTTTTTCTGGAAAGGCGATCTGCCACAAGGTTGAAAGAACCTAGAACATGACACATAAGGAGACGTATCCTCAGTGTGTGGACCTAATAAAAAGAGTTCTAATGTTCAACCAAAAAGGGAGCAGGTGTCCCCTTGGTGATTGACAGAAGCCATCACTATAGAAGTATCCAACTGGATTGTGAGGAGTCAGTTCCATGCAACAGGAAGAAAATGATCCAAAGCACATCATACCACCAGAAGCTCTAAGATGTTGATATATGAAGATCTCTCAGATAGAGACCATTGTCGGGAAGCCTCCTGCTGATTGACCCATGTCCCCAACTGTGGAGAGAAGCATCTGTGAGCAGATACAATTCCAGTCAAGGTGGAGGAAGCAGTACACCCATCGTCATGTTGCCCTTATTCAACCACTAATGCAGATCATTTAAAGGGAAGGAGGAAGGGTAATTAGGGAGTCCAAGGAACCACAAGCAAGATTCCATTGGTCAGGAAGTCTATTGAAGAGAACCCATATATGCCCTTCCCAAGGAGATAACGGCTTCCATTGAAGCTTAAGTCCCCAAAAGCGTTAGAACCTAATGAGCTGAAAGAGAGAGAGAACAGCAAGGGCATGGAGAATTGAAAGCTCCATCCAATGGAGAAGATTGGGCTCGAATGAGGTGGGTTTTGAAAAAAAACAACTAAGTGGATAAGATATTGGGTAGGTAATAGGAAAGACTTCTCCAACTTGAGAATCCAACTCACATGAGCTGCTGCTGTCAGTATTGCAGATATGTGTTTTGTGAAGACTTTAGTTCGAAATGAACTAACAAGAACCAGTCATCCATGTAGTGGTGTAAACGTAATCCATGAGCATGCTGAAGTCAGGCAAAGGATTTAAACACCCGACAAAAGATACACTAAAAAAATAAACAAAGGTTAGTTATCGCGATAAAAAGCTACAGAAAACAAACTGTAGCAAAATAATTAAATTAAATCACTACTTTGCAGAAAAAAAGTAAATAAAACATGAAAAGAACACAAGTGAAAAATGAAGAGTGATAGTTCAGTAGATATGAAGGGTGTGTTGCATTCCTACTGGTGGAGGGTTGTTACAGAATGATTTACATGAGAGATGCCACATTGATCATGGGGTACATGGGAGCTCAAGGCTTGTGTCATGCAAAAACATTTTTGCATATAAAGGGAATCACTGAATGAGAATAGCTATACATGTGAGGTAATGTACAGTATTGGAATATTCAGTTTTTTTCTCGTATTTCCTTTTTTAAATTTACAATTAAATTCAAATGACAACCTCAATTTTATATGAATGAATAATGGTAAAACTGAGATCAATAAGTGATTCATGAAACATTTCCTAGTGCAACACTCAGTAGAAAAGCCTTGTTATACCTTAAACCAAAAGTGCAAGAAGGAGAAAGTGTATTCAATTTCATAACATGTATATACTAACCTGATAAAATTTCTAACCCTGAGCTAATATTTTGAAACTCTTCTTTTGGTCCTTTTTTCAAACTAAAAATATCATGTGTTGAGCAATCTTGAACTTCATCATCACTCTCACTGAACTTGGGAATAATGCCATCTTGTGGTGACTCACCACACTGCTCCATTTTTATTCTAACAAACGAGTTCTAAAATAAAAAAAATAAAAACCAATAACAAACAATGACTAGTGTTGTTCATAATAAAACCTCCAGATCTGAAATTTTTAAGATAAGGATATTCCTTGTACTTAATAGCATTTGAAAAAAAAGGGTGGGGGGATATGGATCAAACTGGGGCAAAAGGACCATCCAAAAAGAGTCCTGAAGAAAATCATAATCCATCGGTGATAAGCAAAGTAAGGTATTTTGCAACAGTTGTAAATACACGAACAAAGCGGTTAGTACAAAAAGCCTCCTCAGGCAACAGTACACAAAAAAATAAATAAAGATCTCCATCTGGAAAAATGACAAATGTCAGTCAGCAGGACCCACCACCAACTCTTGAGGTACTATATTAACACAGGGATTTCACCATCACTCTTTTAGTACACCTACAAACCCATAATGCAGAATGTGGTACTCCATAGGTGGGACACAAACCATAAAGCCTCAGATCCACATGCTAATTACTAAGACATCCCCCCCTACCCATTGTTTCAGTGAAGGGGTTAATTTCCATACTTTGAAAATTAATAGCTAAGTTATTTAATTTTAAACATTAAGCACCAAATAATGTTTTATATAACTAAAATATTTAATATATTTGAACACTGAAAATTTGTGTAAGTTACTGACTTATAAATAGTTATCAAACTGAGTATCAAATAAATAGCTTACATAAACCAATTCTTACACACAGTAAACATGGGATTGTGGAAAGATTACTTTAAATATTGGAGCATGATCTTGATTTTTAAGCATAATTAGCATCTTTCAAGAACTATTCAACCCAAACTAAATGGGGGGATCAAGGGATCACGTTGAGATGTCAAACCTGAATAACAGCATGGTGGTCAGGTGACTTAGTTCATACCTGCAACTAGAGAAAGTGTATCTAAAGAAAAGGGCAACCCACAATTCATGTCAATAGGGCAATGGGAGTTATATATGAGACAGCAAAATATTATGGCCCATTGTAACCCAAATACACAAGTTATAAGGGAAAACTAGGCTGATGTCAATCAATTCAAGCCAGCCTTAGAATGGAAATAAAGTATTTTAGACAAGTGACTAACAACCCAGATGAAATAACTGTAAACCTAAAAAAATTGGATCAAGAAATGAGAACTTGCAGTGGCTCCTTAACCTCAGAATACTGAGAAGCAAAAGAAATCATGGGAGAGAATTCCACTTTAAGGTTATAAATATGACAAATATTAAAATGGAAGTACAAAAAAATGTTAAATTTAATTCAATAGCTAAAGTACTAAAAACTATAGAATGCATAATTCAAAGATCATCTCAAAGTGAAATTCAAAAATTGACACTACAACATAGTTTATATATGTGAACAATTGTTTGTTTGTTTTTGAATTTTGTGCAAAGCTACACGAGGGCTATTTGCACTAGCCATCCCTAATTTAGCAGTGTAAGACTAGAGGGAAGGCAGCTAGTCATCACCACCCACCGCCAACTCTTGGGCTACTCTTTTACCAACAAATAGTGGGATTGACCGTCACATTATAACGCCCCCACGGCTGAAAGGGCGAGCATGTTTGGTGTGACAGGGATTCGAACCCACAACCCTCAAATTGCGAGTCGAATGCCTTAACCACCTGGCCATGCCGGGCCCTTATATGTGAACAAAATGTACAATATGCATTTTACAGTCAAGTAGGGTGTGGGAAGATCTATTTTTCATTATTTCAAGAGCTCTCAGGATTGCACTTTATGTATGTCTGACCTATAAAATACAATGTTTTATGTTGGTAATCTTCATGAAATTGTGTAAACTTAGGCTTTAAATGCTGCAATCTGAAGCCTTTTATATATCTCATTAATGGGTGTATTTGCATATGTTTTTAACATAGCAATCCTCAAAATAAGGTGTAAGTAATTATTTCATACCAAAACTTGTTCTCTTTGGCAAAACATATCAATCAGTATTAGTTTAAATTTTTCTTAAATGAAATAAAACAAAATACTTTGTACAACAGAAAAATAAATTGTACTTTATTTTCATAATATAATGAAAACTGACACAAGTAATTATTAATAACTAACAATGTACAATTCTGATTGGTTTCCTCAAATAAATAATGATTTAGATCTGGGATACAGTGTACAATTTGACTAGCTTCAATATTTTATAGATTTTTATGAAAATAATAAAACTACCGACTGAAACATTTTTTAATCTGAAAGTAAAAAGAAAAATTACGTGACATGTTATCGGCTGCGTGTAGCTGAAAGTGTAATTGTGAGACAAAGACCGAATATGTGAGCTCCATGTCGAACGGATGAGACATAGCAGGTCTGTTACTTTTTTACTTAAATTATTGTTAGTAATAGTTTTATTTTTTTATAATTTATCATTTCCAGTTGCATTAACAGTAATAGACCAAATCCAATTTTGTTTGTTTGTTTATTTTGAATTTTGCACAAAGCTACACGAGGGCTATCTGCACTAGCCATCCCTAATTTAGTAGTGTAAGACTAGAGAGAAGGCAGCTAGTCATCACCACCCACCGCTAACTCTTGGGCTACTCTTTTACCAACGAATAGTGGGATTGACCGTCACATTATAATGCCCCCATGGCTGAAAGGGCGAGCAAGTTTGGTGGGATGGGGTTTCGAACCCGCGACCCCCAGATTGCGAGTCGAGCACCCTAACCACATGGCCATGCCGGGACAAAATCCAATTTTCAATGAAAATCTTCCCTCCCTCTGCACACGTAATGAGAAGCATAATTTGAACACAACTGTACAATCACAAATATATATATATTGAAATATCATTTATTCCAAGTCTGTGCAATTTATGCATAACATATAGTCCAGCTAAAACACGTTAAGCTCCCTTAGTTGTTCTCTTGAGATAATACCTGTGTCAATAACAGAGGATATTGCTGTAATGCTTCATATTTTGCAAGAAAGCTATGGACAGCAGTGTCCTTCACTGGTGGACAGATAATACATAGATGTTTTAGTTTCCTCTATGTTGAATGAGAGTGACCAGTCACGTGGGTTACCTTGTAGTATATTCAGGTGAACTTGAATTAACTAGAGTTACACTGGATAGGTCTGCTAAACAGGAGATTCATTCAAAGAATCAATTACAGAGTAACACTTACAGTCTTACTAACAGAGTTGATGCTAAACAGAACAATGAGACTGGACACAAGTGTGACACAAAATAAACAAAAACAAAGTGTATGTCTCGTGGTTTACTTGCATTAGACAGTGGTTTCTTCTTCTGGATGTTTTCAACTTAAGATCATTTGTCAGACTTACAAATGGAAGCTTTCTTAGATCCCAAAAAGTCTTGCAATCATATAATGCAACATGCACAACAATATAACTGGTCATTCTCATTATTTAATAGGTAGGGCTGTAACCAGTACAGTCATTGAAGAACATTGCTGTTGACACCCATTCACAGTGTCACTTTAAGCAATGCTCTCCATGGGCAATAACAGATATTCCAACTTTGGGAATTACAAAGGAAGAAAGGTAACTTGGAACAAGATCAACATAATGGTTTTCTTGGCTATGTGTTAAATGAAAGATGCACATATTAAGAAAAAAGAATGAACTTAGAATATATATTATAACACAATAAGAAGCTAGAAACAAGTTATATTTATATAACACAGTCTTAGTTGATATACCTAAACCTGATGTTTCTCATTAAGTAAGAAATGTTTGAGCCATCCCTTAGTAAGGAAGAAGCACATAATAACAACTGCTGTGGCTATATCTCAAGTGCAACAAAATTGGTTTCCAGTAAACAGGCAGGGATAACCAAGTTTGCCGATGGTTTATAGTCACAGTTTATGTTAATAATGCAATAATGGGAGGAGTGAAGTGTTTGCTTTGCTCTTGGTACTTTGGGGCACTACTTTGCCAAGCAGCAAAGGCAGCAAGACTATTAGTTCCAGCTGATAGTTCAATAGGTGCCAGAAAACCAACAGAACCCATACTTTCCCAGGTAGCAAATTTCGCAAGAACATTGGTTTGCAGTTGTTCAAGAGAACTAACAACAAGTGGCAGAAAACTAATGGAGCCTGGCCACTGATTTGAGGGAGAATAGCAAACAGCTTGCACAAAAGGTTTTAGTGGAGAGCCCAGGTCTGACAGTGCTGGGTGGAACTGGGTACATACCCTTGAGATTAGAAGAGCTTTAAATTGAGTTTCAAGCTGCACAGGAGTAGCAAGAACACTGGTAGATCTTGCAGTATATCAAATCTTTCAAATGAGAACAACACTCTGACCAGTGGATACCAATTTCATTTTGGCAAATAGGAATAGATTGGTCATACATAGGGCTGATGAGAGGGGGGGGATTGCAGCTTCCCCACCCTCTCATGTTGAGGGCCCCAGCAGTGGGATATTTTAAAGCTCATTAGAAATGCATACTACTTAATGAGCTAAAACGGCTACTGCTTTTTCATGGATTCATGAAGAAATTTGTCACCTAAATTTCTTTTATGAAAAATCAGCAAAAGTTAATAAATAGAATGATATTAATCATTATTACTGACCCCAGGGCTTGGGCTGGCTCTCAATACCCCTGGTCATAATTGTATGGAAACAGACCCAAGGTAATAATATTCTACCTCAGTTCTAACATTGGCATCCCAAGGATAAAAGTACTACAGAAGTTATCCATCAGTTTTGCCTGTGAAATTAATGAACTCATGTTCCACGGGAGAGTTATTCAATGTTGATTAGATATAGCCCAATAACAGTGGCTGCATGAGTATATGTGACAGAGGAGAAAAAAGCACTTCTATGAATGCAAGTTGTGTTCCATGGTTTACTGCAAATGATGGTTCGTGTGTCAATACTGTGTAATATGGTTATGTTTATTAGAGCTGGTAGGCAGATCTCTGGTGTCAAGGACACCAAGAGCATGCTTGCATAACAAAATTTACAGTTTAAGTAAAAATAGTAGTTCTAACTCTATTTTAAAATCTGATTCCTCA